AGAGAGAGAGAGAGAAATGTCAATTGAGATAAAAATTGGGGAATCCCTGGCATGTAGAAGGTTTTAAAACCTCTCACCCAGGTTGTCGTGCAATGGGGCAGTCCCAGATTATGGCAGCCTCTAACTCCTGGGCCCAAGCAATCCTCCCACCGTGGCCTTCCCAGTGTTGGGGTTATGGGCATGAACCATGGCACCAGCCTTGAAGATATCAAAGCCTTGAGGCTGCCTAAAATGACCAAGGGAGTGAGTATGGATGTGGAAGAGAGACAAGGACAGGGCCCCAGGGCTCTCTTAAACTCAACTTTAAGAGAGCCATGAGACGCCAGGCACACAGTGGCTCACGCCTGTAATCCCAGCACTTTGGGAGGCCAAGGAGGGTGGATCGCCTGAGGTCAGGAGTTCAAGACCAGCCTGGCCAACATGGTGAACCATTGTCTCTACTAAAAACAGAAAACTTAACCAGGCATGGTGGCACATGCCTGTAATCCTAGCTACTAGGAAGGCTGAGGCAGGAGAATTGCTTGAACCTGGGAGGTAGAGGTTGCAGTGAGCTGAGATCATGCCATTGCACTTCAGCCTGGGCAACAAGAGCCAAACTCTGTCCTATAAATAGAGAGAGAGAGAGAGAGAGAGAGAGAGAGTGAGCGCACCAGGAGAAGAACTGAAAGTAGCAAAGAAGAGAAGAGAAAAAATAAATCCACCTCTCTTCCTTTTCCTCACGTGGCTTCCAAGACATCATCATCTCCTGTTTTCCTCTACTTCACTGTCCACTCCTTAGTCTTCTTTGCTGTGATGTGAAGTGAAATAACTGCCCAAGATTTGGCATCATGGAGATCATCATGACCCGGAGAAAAGTAGTTTTGGTCAAGTGACGGAAATGATCATCTGATTGGCATGAGACCAAGAGAGAACAGGAGGGCCACGCGCAGTGGCTCACACCTGTAATCCCAGCACTTTGGGAGGGCAAGGCACGCAGATCACCTGAGGTCAGGAGTTCGAGTCCAGCCTGGCCAACATGGTGAAACCCCATCTCTACTAAAAATACAAAAATTAGCCAAGCAGGGTGGCTCATGCCTGTAGTCCCAGCTACTCAGGAGACTGAGGTAAGAGAATCGCTTGAACGCAGGAGGCAGGGGTTGCAGTAAGCCAAGATCCCACCATTGCACTCCAGCCTGAGCAATAGAGTGAGACTGTCTCAAAAGTAAATGAATAGGCTGGGTGTGGTGGCTCATGCCTATAATCTCAGCATTTTGGGAGGCAGAGGTGGGTCGGGAGATCATGACCATCCTGGCTAACAGGGTGAAACCCCATCTCTACTAAAAATACCAAAAAAAAATTAGCTGGGCATGATGGCATGTGCCTGGACTCCCAGCTACTTGGGAGGCTGGGGCAGGAGGATCGCTTGAACCCAGGAGGCAGAGGTTGTGGTGAGCTGAGATCATGCCACTGCACTCCAGCCTGGGCAACAGAACCAGACTCTGCCTCAAAAAATAATAATAAATAAATAAAAATAGAGAACAGGAGGCATGCACACAGAGGTAACTTTGAGATGTCTGCATACAAGGAAGATGGCAAACAGAGTAATAGTGCAGAAGGATATGAGATCAAGGAGGCACACATGCACAAGTATACATATAAAGACAGGAGGGAGGACACCACATTTTTTGTGCTGAAGTGAATGAATTGGAATAGAGCAACAACTGATGAGCAGGAGATGGGGGGTAATTTTAGGAACAGTTATTAAATAGCCTAGAGGAGAAGGGAAGCTGGTGCCACGTGGAAGCGTTTGCCTTAGACGGGAGCAGAGGCAGTGTATCCAGGTGACAAGAGAAAGGGCAGTGTCTGGGTGGAAAGGCAGGTAGGATGGAAGATATGATGGTGGAAAGAGGAGGTAGTTCTTGTCAAAACGCTTTTATTTTCTCAGTAAAATAAGCAGCAAGGGTTCTCAGCTCAGAGTGAGGAAGGGAGGGTGTTGGAAGTTTGAAGAAAGAAGGTGCAATATAGTCATTTCAGAGTGTGGGAAAGTAAACTGACAAGGGAAATACACACGGACAGTATTGAGAGCCCACTCGAGATGTATGATTATGAATTTCGAGTGACAACAGCCCTGTCATTTTTGTCCAGTGTCTTAAGCTGGACAGAATCAAGAGTTTGGCCAGATAGTCCCAGGAAATGAAAGAGTGGGGGTGGTGCATGCGAAGGAATGGTACAGTGACAGACCATGAAATCTAAGCTGGGTAGGAGAGATGTAAGAATCGAAGGACAATGACAGTCATTGGAAGTCAAAATAGGGTCATTAATTGTTCAAATGTGGTTATTTGAGCAAATAAGCTAGGAGAGGAAGAGGTGTTGGTCAGGAAGTAGGGTGATGGTCAGAGGTGGTGCTGTTATTTGGTAATGAAAAGATCAAGGATACCCTCGTGACAGTGGGATGGAGCAAAAAAATGACTGCAGTTCAGGTACTAGGGTTTCAGATAGGTCCTTAATCTACTGGGATGCTAAATTCACAAAAAATGTTAATAAGAGTTGAGGTGGAGGTGGGGGACTGTGAATCAAGTGCTAGAATCTTCGGGGAATGAGGGGGAGTGCAGGAGAGCCTGCAGATGACAGCCACCAAGCGGAGGTGGTATAGTCTGATGGCAGGTACTTCAAAGCAGCTGGGGTGGAGGGGGAAGCAAGAAAGAGTCTAACTTGGGGAATAACTCTCCTGCCAAGGGTTTGTTCTGAATTCCACTCTCTAGTATCTCACCAAGCTTCCTTCCCTCTTTTGGCAGCTGAGAGGCCATCCAGGGTAAGGATTTATTCAGGGTCTCGGGGTCAGAAGGAAACCAGCAGTCGGGACTTTTATTCCCTCTTCTCTGCTACCAAAATACCAAGGCAGTGTTTTGGATATTTATTTAAAAGAACATTTTAAATGTCCTTGTTTGTTTCTGCCTCTGTGCAATATTGTGCTGGGAAGGACGGGGAGCTGGTAACCATGGCAGTGGAGCAGGGGGTGGTGGTGAAGAGGTGGTTTTTAAATGGGGTGAACTTCAGGCAGGCGGCACCCAGAGCTGGAACCCCCACAGCCTCCTTGGAGTCCTTTGTTCATTCAGCTTACTTAGGGAGAGAGAGGCTGCATTCTTGCCGCTGGGAAGCAAGCTTTGAAAGGAAAGGTTTTGCCAGACTCCATAAGGAGAGGGTGTGTCCCTCGGAGCAGGTTTTGGGGCTCTGCCTGAAAGCCTTGGTGGGCAGGGAACTTTGGGCACCCTGTCATGAACAGCACAGTCTGTGATGGCAAAGAAGCCAGCTCTGCAGCATCCTGGATGCAGACTTCTTACACACTGTCAGCTGTCTCACCACTTCTCCCTGGACAGGTGGCCACTCGTGGGGGTGGCCCAGAATCCTGGCCAAAAAAGGCAGCCAGGCAGGGCCCCCACAGGAAGGTAGCTGGCAGGGGAGCCAGCAGAAGAGGAAAGGGGAGGGAAGCAGTCACCTCTTCCACATTCCTGGATAGGGAGCCCCAAGAGCCTTTTCAGGACAAAAAAGTGCCCCAAACAAGCGGACACAGGGCAAGACAGGACAGGGCAGGACAGGACAGGGCAAAGCTTGGGTCCAGGGAAGTCCCATGACTGCAGTGTTCAGCCGCAGGTTTCCCAGCAGCTCTGGGCGGGAAGCAGCGCTGGGAGATGGGGGAGGGGAGAAGGGAGGAGAAAGAGGAGGAGGGAAGTAAACAGGAGACCACAGAGAGAGCCAGTTCCCTGCGTTCAGAGAACACTAGCCGCCTCCGGTCCCCGGTGGGTGGCTGTATGTGTGGAAATGAAACTGGGAGGAGGAGGGAGAGAGGGAAGAGCAGGCACGCACTTCGCGGCTGTCATCCACCTGGCCTCTCTCGACCCGCCAGCCCACTCCCCACCGGGGTACGGGGTTGGGGGAGGTGGGAGGGAAACGGTTCTGCAGACGCCCACCCCTTAGTACCAGTAGCTGGTTCAGCTGTCGGTGAATCAGACACTGTCTCAGCAACTTGTCACCTGCGCTCGGGAGGGGAACAGAGGGCAACCCTGGAACGTGGCAGGGAGAGGTTGGGGAAGGGCAGGATCCAGCACTGGGCCTGGGCGTCGGGGTGACGCCAGCGGCTGGGAAAAGGGGTGTCCACCTCCCTACACCCACACGCATCTCGACCCAGTACCTGGACGCTGAGTAGACGGGGTGGAACAAGAGCTTGGGGGCCCAACGGAAGGGGGACTTGGAAGCACGGGAGGGGAGAAGAACAGGGTGGGGGTGTGCTGCGGCGGGAAGCGCTGGGTGCGGGGCAGGCGCGCGCGCGCGGAACAAGCCGCTGCCCGGTGCTTGCCCGCGCGGGGTTATGCGAGGTAACCGCGCGGCGAGGAGGAGGGAGGCGGCGGGGGCCGCGGGCCGGGGTGTCTGGCGCTCGTTGGACAAAGAGATGATGAAACGTGAGCGCTATATTTACCAAGGGGGTGGAGACGGGCCGGGGGGCGGGGGTGGGCTGGGAGTAAAAAGGACAAACTGTTCCACAACAACCACAGGAAACACAGCCCATCTGACTCACCGGGAGGGCCGCACCGACCCCCTGGCAGGCTTAGCCTGGAGACTGACGCGGGGCGCCGGTTCTCCCGGGACCAGACCGAACCTGGGCACTACGGCTGGGGCTGGGTTGATTTATATATAAATAAAGGCACATTCGATCCAAGAGTGCGTGTGGTTCTTGCGGGGTAGGGGAGAGCGCGAAAATGGGAGGAATGTTTCCTAACCCCTTGGCTGAGCCTTCGGGGGCGAGATCTGCCTGCAAACTCTGAGAGCACAATTCCTGCAAAGTCATCTCCTCCGGCACAGCCCGGCCGGCCTGCCCGCCCCGCCCCGCCCGGGGACAGCAGCACCCGCCTTCCCCCACTAGCTCCCCACCCCCGTAGCCCTCGGAGTTGGGGTGCGGTGCCGGCTATGTTTAGAAGCTGATGTCATCTCGACACCCTACTCTGCAGTGTTCCCAGGAGGACCGCAGGGCAGGTTTTCCTCTTCCTCGCGGGCGTGGGGGATGGAAGGTGGCCTGCCCTCTCCCCAACACACGCACCCCACATCCATCTACCCGGGAGATTAAAAGAAAAAAAAAAAAAAGCAACACCGCCAGAGTTATGAAACAGGGTGGCGGGGGCGGTACGTGCACGCGGAGAGCTCAAAGCATGGGCCCGGGCCGCGCTGGGCTCCCCCCGGTCTCCGCCCACTTCTACCCCCGCGCACCCGGGTGCAGGGGCTAATTTCAAGGTTAGCTCACGTGGGCGCGGGCGCCCGGAGCTCCTTGCACGAGTTTGGGGCGGGTTCCTAGTCCCCCAATCTAGGGCAGTTTGTTCAACTGCAGTAAAGGGAGCTTGATGTTCCAGCAGGGAAGGGATTTCTGAGAACTGGGACTGTCCTCAGATGAACTCGCCTCCTCAGGCTGCTGCGGCGGCGGCCGCCTGCGGAAGACTTTTTAAAAGGGCGATGCCAGGCCGGGGCGCGCGGCCCGCGAGTGGCTGAGTCTCCTGCCAGTCGGCGGCCGGAGCCGAGCGCCCACCCCCGAGCGCCGGTGATTCACCGAGTGCCGCGCTGGGCCGGTCGGAGCGCGGGGGGCTGCGAGCTAAACTTATCCTCCTGCATATGCATGAACTGGCGGCCTCTGCGCTGCAGAGGAGAGGGCTGGAGTTTTGCGGAAGGCTGCTAAGTGGGGCGGGAGCAAAGTAGGGCGGCGTGCAAGTTTTCCCGCTTGTCTGAGCTCCCTTCCCCCTCTGGCCCCTGGGTGTTAACTTCATTATGGCCACGGGCGTTCCACCTGACCACGCTTTACCTGATTGTATTTCAAAATCCAGGAACACCGCCATTGTTGGAAGCTTTATCCCTTTGGCCACGCCTCTCCCCTCCTCAGGCTCGCCTCCTTCCCTAATTCCTCTGCTTTCACCAAAATGAACACTGGTTTTCTCCACGTTTGTCCCGTGTGCCCAGGTAGGGGTCGCTGAAGCCGGAGGGCCTGGGGCCTGAAAGGGAGAGGTCTGGATCCAGCCCAGAATGAGGTCCAACACGTGATCCTCTACCCCCAGTGGGCCATCTGTTCTCCTTCCTTCCCGCCTGGAGGCTGGCAGTTCTGCCCGGCACGGTCCACGCCTCCCAGCAGGAAACAGTGAGAAAAGCCAGAATTGGCAGAACCCGGTACCTACAGAATATGATTTTGACCTAAACTTCTCGGCTTTGAGCAGGGATGACACCCGGCAATCTGTATTTTAAATCGAGCGCCAGGTGATTAGCTCCACCCTGCAAGGTGGGGAAACCCTGCCTTGGGGCGCAGTTTGAATAAAAGTCTCCAGAGGAGGAGCCTGGGAATCTGTACTGCTTAAACCAGGAAATACCTTACTCCCGGCTAGGGTGAAACGTTTACCTCGGGCCGGGCACGGTGGCTCTTGCCTGTAATCCCAACACTTTAGGAGGCCGAGGCGGGCGGATCACCTGAGGATAGGAGTTCGAGACCAGCCTGGCCAATATGGCGAAACCTGTTCTCTACTAAAAATACAAAAGTTAGCTGGGCATGCTGGCCCACGCCTGTAATCCCAGTTACTGGGGAGGATGGGACAGGAGAATCGCTTGAACCCGGAAGGCAGGGGTTGTTGCAGTGAGCCGGGATCACATCATTGCACCCCAGCCTGGGCGACAGAACGAGACTGTCTCAAAAATAAATAAATAATAATATAATAAAATTTACCTCCGAAAAAGAATAGATTATTTTATTTTTTTTACTTTATTTATTTATTTATTTAGAGACAGGGTTTCACCATGTTTGCCAGGATGGTCTTGATCTCTTGGCCTCGTGATCTGCCTGCCTCGGCCTCTCAAAGTGCTGGGATTACAGGTGTGAGCCACGGCGCCCAGCCAAGAATAGATTATTTGAACTCCCATTCCACTTTCTACAAACCAGCTTAAAGAAAGAAAAAATCAAGACCATAAAATTAAGGAAGAAGGGATTTTGAACACATTTATATTTGTGTCTGCTATCCATTAAATGTTGATTTAAGGTTTTCTGACCTTCACTGCCATAAAGAGCAGTATTTGTAGATGTGCGGCAGATAAGATGGTATTTAAAGAACCCAAATCTTGCCCCGGTTTTTTTCTCTAGGATTTTTTTAGATCCCTTGAGTATTTGGAGTTTGGGAGAAACTATTGGAGATATATTAACCTAATCCCATCAATTTACAGATAAAGAAATAGCTCCCAGAGGTTGCCTGAGGTTACAGAGTTTATCTCAGACCCAGAGGTCAGTTCCTCACACTGGCCTACAATGCTGAAAAGAACAGCTGACTGTAGGCACCACTTCTTACTAGAGCTAATAATAATACTGTAATTATTTCAGGATGCACAGAAAACAAGGCTTATATGTTCTGGCTACAAGCCCCTAAGCCATTGTTTTAAGAACTTGGATAATAAAGCAAATTCTTAGGCAGAATTTACAGAGGAAAGCATAAACTAGACACACAGTTACAGTCTAAATTTTCATGCTCCTCTGGTGGGTTTGTGTGGATTTGAAAATGTGTATTTACAAAGACTAACGGGGAAAACAGACCTCTTACATGTATGTGGCATAATATATAGTTTAGTGATAAATTATTTTAATTAGGAATGATTCATATTAACTTGGGATCATTTATTTTGCCAACATTTAATTGGGACAACCACATGCTGGCAAAACAGCCTAAGCCGGTTTTAATCTTAAAATTACTATAATACACATTCCAACACCCCAAAGAAACTTCACTGTTGAAAATACAAGAAAAAAATCTTGACATAGAAATTATTATTTGCGGATATATGTTGTTTTATATATATGTGCGTGTTTTAAACATATAAGCTTCATGGAGGACAGAGTCTCTTTTCATATCTGTATTCCCCATGCCTAGCTCATTGCCAGGAACATAAATATCTGGAGAATGAATGAGTGGAAATGGAGGAAAAAAGAAAACGCATTCTACAGTTCTAGAATTGCTGAGTTTAAAAAGATATTCTAAATCAAGTTAAGCAGCAGTTATGTTTGTAGATGTGTGAGAAAGTCACGTGGATGAAATCTCAGTTTTCTTTTATTACTTTCTTTTATAAGTCTGAAATGAGTGAGTTTGGAGAATTCAGTGTTTACGTCCAGTTCAAACAAAGTGAAATTAAAGAGAATTAAAGAAAAGCAAGGAGTAAGGAAGGGAAAAGTTTATATTTTTAAAAAATCTAAAGTGATTGATTTTTTCAAATTCCTGGATTATATAATCTTCAAGGAAAGACACAGACTTCCTCAGTTCTGGAATAATGATGATGTTAGTCCTAGGGCTATCTATAGATGGCCAGGCCTGAGAAGTCTGTTTCACCAGTGCAATCCCAGTTAAAACACAAGTCTGAGGGGTTGTACAGCCCATGATCATAGGGATCCTGGAGAGATCCCGATGGTGTGTGTGCTAGGCCTTTAGGAGGCATGCAAAGGTGCAATTTCTAAGTGATCATGTATCCTCAGGGAAAAAAATTGTCCCAGAAAAACCATGAAGTAGGCAAACTCCCCTGGGTTTCAATGAATTCTTTTCTAAAATTAAGAGATTAAGTTCTAAAAATGCAAGAACTCCAAGATGGCTTTGAGTTTTTTATACACTATATACCTACCTTCCAGGGTTGTTGTAAGGGTGCATGCAGGGTGCTTGGTACAGGGCCTGACACAGAGTAAGCCCTCCATGAAAGGGGTCCGGGATAATGACGCTGATGGTGATGATATTCTTGGTTGCCCAGTATCCCCTACCTACAGCTTTCTTCCACGGGCAGCCACCTACTGCAATATCTTCCCTGTACCACTTTAATTTTTGTTGTTTTCTTTATATTTTAAAGGTGTGTACTTTTATTGAACTGGTCTCAAGTCAGGTTTGTTTTTAATTAAAATTTATTAGACTCTTATTT